GTGTGTGTGTGTGTGTGTGTGTGTGTGTGTGTGTGTGTGAGCTTATCTTACCTCCCCATAAATATACTTTACATAGCAAAATCAAAAGTACACTTGTATACATGTAACTCCTTGTGCAGTAGGCTAAATCGATAGCTTTGTTCCGAACATACCTCTTGTATGTATGTATGATTGTATGTGTGCATGTATGTACCAACCGAAAACACATCAGTACTTGCGGTACGCAAATATATGTGCCTATGTATATAATCATGTGTACATATGCACAAACTGACGTCAGCATATATCTCAGCACTTAAATGGCCTTGTGGTCGGCGAAAGCATTATTAGCGGTTGCAGCGCTCTTACAGAAAACAGCAATATATGCGATTGATATTCACATAAGAACACGCTCTCTTGTGAGTGCTCTCAAACGTTTCATAGGAAAACGTTCTCTTTCTTGTGGGTTCTCCAAAAAAAACTGTATGTGTGTGTGTTGTTATAACAACTTCACTGAACTTCTAACGATTAGATACCTTTCAAATATTTCGTCTTCGGCTTCTTGTAGCAGGCTTTTGAATTCCACGCCGTCATCTTTGTCATCATGGCGGTTGCTACCTCCCGGATTGAGTTGGGTGGTATTTTGCGGCAGGCACGGCCTTATACAACTCGCACATAGGCCCATTGTAATGCAGACAAAGGTAGATGTTTCTCGATGTATATGTGTGTGTACTATGTGTATATGTATATGGTCATATTTTGCTTGCGTATGTATTTTAAGATTTGTGTGAGTATGTCTCCAATTTCCTTTATCGTCATGTACGTGCGGATGTCTCTGCGTGGTATTATATGCAAGGGTGGCTCCAACGGTGCACACTTTGAAGTTGCTCAGATTATACGAATAAAGCCGAGTACCTGCCACATCCGTGTTGACTTTTGTAAGAGTGGATTGTTGCTACTTATATATATATATTTACAGCGTCTGCGTATACTTTACCGGTGAATATGGAAGTGTCACCATATTTGAAGTGTTTGTGGCAAAACATGACTAATACATATGACTTAATTTTTTGCCCCGTACATAGGCTCATATTCACGTCCTCACACACAACAAGAAGTGATTACTTTATGGTTGTCTCTCTAGACATTTGATTGATATTTATTATGAAAGTATAGCCCTACAGCCCTGATCTTTAAACACACCTACCAACTTTACTTATTCTTACTTTCAATCTAAAAGCATATCTAAACAATGCAGGATACAAATGATGATGGAGCTAGTGCTAGGACACTACCACCACCACTCACCGCTCAATTGAGGCAAAGTTTGGCCAATACCGCCCACGCGCTCTTCAACACGCCAAAGCGAAGGGCAGAAATAGCCAAAGATATGGAGGAAAGAGAACGTAGGAAACGCGAGGGTATTGATGAACCAACGGAGATGGAACTGGAAGAAATCGAGGCGAAAAGAAGGGCAGATGCAAGAAGTGTAAGTACACCATGAAGTGAATATTTATGTACGTCTCGTATCCGACTTTTTATCTCTTATATATATATATGTGTGTGTGTGTGTCTGTGTCTGTGTGTCTGTGTCTGTATCTGTGTCTGTGGCTGTGTCTGTGTCTGTATGTATCTGTATATATATATATATATATATATATATATATATATATATATATATATATATATATATNTATATNTATATACTATATTATATATATATATACTATATAGTATAGTAGTACGTACGTAACCG